AAAGCTCTACTATTTTATAAGATTTCTGTTTTCAAGAAGATAGAGTCCTAATATAGTATTCTACAAAGAGAAGGGTTTAACTAGTTATTTAGATTTTTGTTTTAGTGAGGATAATACCTTTATGTAGTGTTAAAAAAAAGTCTAGTTAATTATTCTGTAGTCAATTAAGATTATTGATTAAAACTAGTTATAAATAATTGATATCATATCAAGTAATTTGCTTATTGGTAAAAGACAAAACAATATTTACTGGAGTCGCTTTACTCTAATAGATAGGCATAAAAAGTTCATTTTTGGGGGCTTTCAGACTTTTCCAGGATTTTCGGGATACCAGGTTTTTTCCGGATATTCCGGATTTTCATTATTTTCGGAATTTCTTTTAGGTTTCGAAGAACTAGTGGGAAGCTTGTAAAGCTCCACTATTTTCAGGATTTTCAAAATTTTTAGGCTTTTTCTAGATTTCCCGGATTTTCAGATCTTTTTTAGGATTTTTAGGATTTTTAGGAATTTTTATTATTTTTAGAATTTTGAATATTATATAATATCAAAAATACTATTTATTTCTAATTTTATAGGTTTTATATATTTTTAAAGATTTATCAAAAAGCTAGCAAAACTCTATTGTTTTTAAAAGAGTTTCAGAATTTTCAGATTTTAAGAATATTAGTTTGATTAGTTTATAGAGTTTTATTATTTTTCAAAAGTTTCAGAACTTTCAGATTTGAGGGAGTTTCAGGATTTTCAGATTTCAAGGATATTAATTTGATTAGTTTATAAAATTCTGTTATTTTTCAAAATTTGAAATATTATTCGCTAACAAACTGCTATCGAATTCTAATTTTATATATTATACTTTCGAAAACAAAAACTGAAAAAGGAAAAAACAAAACCCTATCAAATATAAATATTGAATACAAACTACTACTTTATTAAAAATAAAGTGATTTCTTTTTTCGAATTTTCGAATTTTTCAAGATTTTCAAGGTTTTTAAAGATTCGAATATAAATTGGATTAGTTTTTAATATTTTTGTATTACAATATAGCTTTTTAAAAACTATAAAGAAACTAAACCTCATAAAATAAGAATATAAGCATTACAACTAACTTGTTATAGAAATTAATGAGACTTCGAAAAAAGATCGATTAGCTATCGAATAGCTTTAAAGCTTTCGAGAACAAAAGCCTAAAAAGGAGAACTCTATTATAAACATTAATACAATATAGAATTGATATCAGGCCAACTATTAGTCCAAAAGTGAAGAGTTTATATATATATATAGCTTTAGGAAAGAGATTTCGAAGGAATTAATAAAAAGTCTTATTCTAGTTCTACACCTATATTATACTAGTCGTCACCTTATATTGATTCTAACATAGGCATCTTAGAGAAGGTCTATATGAAATAGTGATTGCTTTATTATTTATATTTATTTTTACCTCTTTAAGCTATAAGTAGAATACTAATGCTTTTAAGCTTATAATGAAGTCTTATTTAGGGGCATTTTATATACTAAACATTAGTACACCTATATATAAATAGCCTTATCTAGTACAAATAAGAACTTCGTCTCTCTTTTATACTTTCTTTATATTATTCTAAATCTCTTATATCTATTGGGATAAGGATCATGTAACTGACCGCGCTAGCGCGTGCGCTAGCGCCCCCGCACTATAGCATATACGTTCGTAGTCTTTAGCTTTTAAAACCTTAAGCAATATTACAATAGTAAACCATTAGTATTATATTACTTCACTATCCCCATGATAATATCAATAATATCTTTTAAATCTTTTAAATCTTTTAAATCTTTTAAATCTTTTAAATCTTTTAAATCTTTTAAATCTTTTAAATCTTTTAAATCTTTTAAATCTTTTAAATCTTTTAAATCTTTTAAATCTTTTAAATCTTTTAAATCTTTTAAATCTTTTAAATCTTTTAAATCTTTTAAATCTTTTAAATCTTTTAAATCTTTTAAATCTTTTAAATCTTTTAAATCTTTTAAATCTTTTAAATCTTTTAAATCTTTTAAATCTTTTAAATCTTTTAAATCACTCAAATCTATATAAAGTACTATATTTGAGTCTTCCTCTATTAGCCTCTTCAAGAAAGCTCTAACGTATAGCTCAGAGGTCAGACTGTCTGTTACATCGTTACTGCCCATTTTCCCATCCGCTTGAACCTCAGAAGTAAGCATGTCATCCTGAACACCAGTCTCAACACCTCCAACGCGAGAGCCAACTTCGGCCTCATCACCGAATACTACCCCCAAATCATCACTTAAATCAATATTGTCTTTATCATCCTCGGGTGCATCCTCATTAATATCCTCAGCGGCCAATATCTTTGCCCTGGCTATAACTTCTTCAAAAAGTTTCCCCGTAATAGTAAGGGCTTCGACTCTAACCTCGTATTCTTGTATTGAGTGGAGTTCCTCGAATTCCTTCCTTATGTGTGCCTGGAGAGTGTATCTCGCCTGTAATCTTGTGCATTTTGATGTACATTTTTTCTCAGCTGATGTGATTGTTTACGTGTATCTTTCGTTTTGTTAAACAAAGGCATTGATAAACTTTTTCTCATTTTCTGAAGAGAGGTTGTAGTAGACTCGATATAATCCGGTCTGGACTATCGACTCTACACACTCTTTCTCTTTATTCAAAGCAATTGTTACCATATCAAGATCAACTATTGCATCGTTGTAGTAATTCTCAAAAATAAAGGCACCTGGGGTGTGTCCTAAGAACGCCCTTGCCTTGTTTCGATCTTTAATCCTGTTAACCCTCACACCAGCCCCCTTTCTTTAAGTATAGAATATTGTTATTTCGGTGTATCCTGTAGTCAATGCTCTACTCTTAAAGAACGCAGAAAGACCTTCAGTCGATAGAGAGCGACTATCTTCATTGTAGCCTTTACCACCTAGATTTCCTGCCAAAAAAACGGGACTGTCGAGATAAACTACTTTGATGCTTAACTTTCTAGTTGTAGAAATCGATAACATTAACAGGTTATCAATGATATCAATCCTATCAAGTATGCCTCATTGGAATATAATTGCGATCAATCTAAGCGCAGGCGAGAATATAATGTTTTCCGCTGATTTCGGATATCGACTATATTGTTTCAATTTATTTGGGTTGGCTTCTCTTCCAGAAGGCATCAATGATCCTGTTCTTCTTGAGGTACATGAAATTGATAGCGCAATCGAATCGTCCAGTATAAATGCCTGCACCCAAGTATAACGTGTTAGCAAGATTAAGATGATGGAATGGTAGATGAAATGTACCTTGACCATCAAAAGCCCGAGTAATCTCAATATCCCTCCATCTCAGAAACTCCTCTAGCCTATCTGATAGTTGTGCCAAAGAGCATGGTCTAACCCCATTAAGACAGTCTAGAATCTATGCTAATTCATGCTGCTAGGAGAACCGAGGGGACAATGCGCAAATCATTTCCCAGTCCAATAACTGACGCAATTCGAATTTCCCGAAGTAAGAATTGCCATTCTATCCTGGTGGAGGAATCCCGCCCCAAAGAGTTCGTGCTGCTAGATGAATTCCCTTAGTAATTTCCATCTTCATTTTTGAAACCGAGCAAATATTATCAGGCCGATGCTTCATAATCGCAAATTTCAACAAAGTTGCACGTCGATATGTCGTAGATGTAATGGAAGGTTGTGAATCGTTCAGTCTTTTTGATATAGCCTTTTCCATCCATCTACCAATTATGAATATGAAGTCTTTGATGAGTATATCTTGTGATTCGTTGAACAAATGTGAATTGTAAGCATTTTTTATAAATTTATCGAAGTTACCCCCTGGAAACTGTCAATTTGTTCATTGCTATCAGACCACCATTGCAATTCGAAATTCCTTGAGATAAGCGTCTTCTGCACGGATTGTACCCGGAGCTCCTTAAAGCAGAGTATAATCAGTTTCATTATTCGATTTCCTCCAACTTTTTGAAAAAGAAAACCTAATTCCTATTCGATGATCTTCTGCGCTTTCAACAATAGCATCAAGTTTGTCGAATAATGCTCGCTCGTTTTCCGCAATATCTCTCATTTTATATACACTATCGTCATTGAGCCATATATATAGCGTCAATCTATTGAGCTATAGATCTTCGAATGGGAGCTCAAGATTGAGGAGGAGGAATTGGAGGGAGTGTGAACTGCATTCTGACACTGACTGGAGATATCCGTTTCTAAACAGAATATAACAAAACTGTAGAAAGAGGTGTAAAGGTATAAAGGTGTAAAGGTGTAGAGAGGGAGGAGAGGTAGAATATCTCTGAATGTGGGGTATTATACATCAAATGGAAGGAGTGAGGTGGGGGACAGGTACCTATCTAAGGTAGGTGCGGGGAAGTTATGCCCCCCTCTGATACTCCACATCTGGTGCCCCATAGAATTCTATATGCTATGATAATTGAAGATAGTTGAGCAAGACGGTTGTCGAGAGTTTGAGGTAGTTGTTGCTATAGATCAAGGAGTAAGAAGATAGTTGTAGTGGAGAGAAGAGAAGTATGTTGTTGAAGGAAGATAGAAAACCAGTAACTATTCCCAGATTTTAGTGCGGTGGAATAATTATTGATCCGTTTCAAATTCACTTGAAAGTAAAGCATTTTTGATAAAAAGATTAGCTGGAGTACTTACCGCAGCTTTGAAGTTCCATTTTCTCAAATAATCCTGCTTCAAATTCACATTAGTGTTCAACGAATCTTCGACTTGGTCGAATACCCAGATATCAATCTATGGTAAGCACTCGTAAACAGGCATTCAATTAAAAATCTTTATAGTACCATATATATATAAGAAGATAGTAGCGAGTAACTAGCAACCAGCACCTTTCTTGTATATCCAGCTCTTAGCTTACATGTCCAGCTCTTGATCTGTTTCTAATAGATATCATACACTCATTGTCATCATTCATAACGGCCAAATTCCTAGCTCTGATTTACCAGCCATATCCACTCTCAATTTCACCACAATGTTTCCCAGATCTACTCCAGAAGTGTCGAACCCTCCAAGTCATCGGCCTCATCATCATCCTCTTCCTCCGACTCGTCCTCCATAGCAATCTTGCGTCTGGTTCTCCTGCCCGTGCGCTTCTTGTTTTCACCTCCAGCTTCCTCTTCGTCTTCCACTCCATCTTCGATGCTCTTTCTTTTCCCTGTCTTGTCATTTCGGACACCTGACTTTCCAGAAGCTTCTTGATTTTCACTCGCCCCATCCTTAGCTTGATGATAGATTCTCGAAACACCCATATATGCGTGTGCAACTTTTTCATCATCCCAACTTTCCACAAGCTCTTTCAAACTGCTTTCGCTATCATCAGCCTTTCCAAATGTTGTCATCAGATAGTCTCTCCACTTCAAATTCCACTCCCTATAATTCTTTCTCTTTGTCTTAAGAAAGAGCCCAGACCCGGCATTGACCCATTCGGTTGAGTAGAACAACAATCGATCGCTGTCATCCTCCGACATGGAAACATCCACTCCAGATCTCTTAAACTGAGAAGAAGCAGTCCGAGTTGTTGAAGATTTAGAGCTTGTGACACCAACTGCTTTTTCACCAAGTAACCTATATCATATCAGTATCAAATTTTCTTTCCTATTCATATATTATGAGGCAAGCTTACTGCTGTAAAAGCGCAAGAGTTGTATTCTGTTTCTCTGCCATAATTTCTAGTGCTTCTGCAATGACCTCCTGTCGCGCCTGTAACGCATCTGCCATAGCACCAAATTGGTTGTAGGGTATTGACAACCATCTTGGGCTACTTCTGATATGAGTGGGATCGAGGACTGAGGAGGTAGAAGTAGATCCAGATATTGTTTCGAGTCAAGATTATGAATAAGATCTAAAATGAAAGTAAATGCTTGATCTTGATTACATATATACAATATGAAAAGTAACCGTTACTAAATTCTGGATTTATTCGAACATAAGAGAGGTATATTGGAGAGAGATGTATTGGAGAGAGATGTATTGGAGAGAGATGTATTGGAGAGAGATGTATTGGAGAGAGATGTATTGGAGAGAGATGTATTGGAGAGAAATGGAAAGTGAAAAGGAAACGACCTTTGACTGTACAGATGGTAACCGATCGCCCCACATCGAAATTTTCAAATGAAGCTTCAATTTGGGAAGGAACCTCCTTCCATTTAAGGGGATGTAAAATGAAGTTTGCTTAATGATGTCCAGCTGACTACAGCCTTATTGTGTTTTGAGGCAACGTTTATAATGACACCTCGTGCTTACAGTACTTGTGAAGGGTTCGGAAACGAAAGAGGAGTTATCATTGAATAGTGTACCTAGTAGTTATTGATGAAGACTAGAAAGGAAGTTGGAAGCGAAGCTTCCAACTCATACTGAAAGAGCTAGCTAAAACGGCTAGTATAGACGGTCACGTGCTAAGAGGGTACGTGCGCCCTCACAGTACTAGGCTAGGCTATTCGTAGGAGAAAAAACAGGCGGAATTCGACCATTTCTAAGATATCCTTTACAATTCAATTATTTCCCTTCAATATGATATAAAAAAAAAATTCGAAATATTTTCTGAATAATAAAAAGCTGATATTTCTTTTGATCTCTTTGAATTTATATAAATCATTTATAAATTATTTTTTATTCAATTAAGTTAGAGGATTTCAATGAAAATTTGAATTATCAAATTCCGCCTGTTTTTTCTCCTACGAATAGCTAGGGCACAGATAGTGGCCGATCACTCAAATTATATCAAAACTCATTATTAAAACCAATAAATTTCAACACAATTAAATGAAAATTTGTAACTTTTGTTTATATAAATTTGTTTACTTTTAATTATAAATTTCAAATTTTTTTATAGTTTATTTTTAAAATTTAAAATCATTATATTATATAGATTTGAAATATAGAGATTTAGAAATTTCAGAATTTATTAGTAAAATAAGCGAAATTTAAAGAACTTTTATAAACTATTATTTTAATAACAAATTTCTGATTATATAATTTATATTAAAACTTTAAAAATAAAGAATATAAATCATTATTATATAAATAATATATATAGAGAAATTCAATTATAAAAATTAATAAATAAGTATACAAAATATAATAAATCGATATTTTTTGATATAATTTAGGTGATCGGCCACTATCTATGTATAGTCGCTATATCTTGAAAAAAAAAGTAGGATTTCGTATTCATTTGCTTCGATTTAGTCACTCCTTAATCAATAGTTTCCAATAGAATAAAACTCGTTGACTGTCGCAGGACCACTAGATTTTTATTTCTATTCAACAAGCTATTCTATATTTTTCTCTCAAATCGGATCCCAGTAGGCTTATGAATTGTTGTTGGAAGTGAAAAGATGAAACAAACATGACCAAACTGGAGCAGACCGCATTTTCTGTAGTAAGCCAGCAGGCTGATAGAATAATAGACTTGCTGTAGATACAATAGTTAAACAGGTTGGAAATATGAGATCATATATAGGCATTGCAGCTAACCGCGTAGGACCAGTAGTCTTTCTGCAGTTAACTACATAGGACTAGTAGCCTTTCTATATTTGACTATATGAGACCAGTAGTCTTTCTGTAGTTGACTATATGAGACCAGTAGTCTTTCTATAGCTGATTGCATAGAATCAATAGCCTTTCTACAGCTGACCATATGGGACTAGTAGTCTTTTAATAGCTGATTATATAGAATCAGCAGTCTTTACATAGCTGACTACGTGAGACCAGTAGCCTTTCTACAGCTGATTGATTTTAAAACGAATTATTAAAGTCAAGTAATCATTAGAAGTTTCCCAATAATAACTAGAGAACTTGATATTTCATATAAGAACTTCAACTAGATTATAATAAAAGTAAAAGCAACATATAGCGTTTCAGTATCTGTCAGTTATAAATCAAAGACTAAAACCCTGAATAAAAGGGAGTAGTGATATCTATATATCTATTATTCTCGTTTCAATTAAAAGTCAAAGTTCTAATAAGTATCTTGGAGGTTAGTTCTTATAATAAGAAGGAATAATATTATTATAAGGATAGTAAAAGATCTAGTTAGTTTAAGCTGTAGGAATAAATCGAATATATAGAATAAAAATTGAATTGAAGTCAATTTAGAAAAGCTAGACTGAATTGAAATGAATTGCTTGCTTTTTCCTAAAATTCCTTTAAAGAATATTCTAGGTTTATATAGTTTATAATGAAATTCCAGTATATTCCATACTTATAAATAAGATTGATTTAAATCGTATCTTATAGAATCGCTTTAGATAATAAAAAGAAAGTATAATCAATCAATTTAGCGAGATTTCCTATATATTTCCATCTAGTTCCATTTCATTCTATTCCATTATAAATCAATTTGATAAGAGATACTATTATACAACTATATGATAATATGATTTTATAATATAAGATCATATCATATGTGTATTAGTCATCAATATATTCCTTATTTGATAAGATATTAGTAAGTGATTTAGTGGACTTATTATGAATCCTCACAAAGTATGTATACCTAGAAGCTTAAAAGTAAAGCGTTTGTTCCGGGTGGAATAGCAATATTGACTGGATGGGGTACCTACCGAAGGATCAATCTCGCAGCATATACCAAATTTATGCTTGTGTGGCCAGAGTAAGATCTTGCAAGGTGATTGAGGGCCACACGAGCATACGAATATAACCATGTACCGAGTTATTAGATATATGTAGTACCTAGGTATGTATATCAAAGTGGGGAAGGTAATAATTGGCGGAAGTGGAGTGCTTAACGAAAATCGAATCACTTCATGAAACGCAAATATGTACAAGGCTAGAAGGGAATACCTATTACCTCCAAGGTTAGGTACATACATATAAAGTATTATGCGAAGGTTACTTGAGATTGGGGTGCTTACCGTAGGTCTCTTAGTTTCACTATTCCGTCAATGAAAGATAAGACTGTGGTGAATCTAGAACTGGATTGGAGTATCTGCTAGATAGCGAGTAAACTGTCGATCTAGATATCTTGAAGGAGATTTGATTACCTAGATACCTCCCTGGAATATAATATCTTAAACATGACATCGCATTTTCGATACAAAAGTAACTAGAACAACATTCCACTATACCAAATGTCAATCTTCGGTAGGTACTCCAAGCAGGCATTCAGCTTGCTCATAATAATATTGTTAAAACTTGAGCAGATCAAATGGAGTTGGAAATCCGATGTACTAACTCACCAAAATGTATGCACACTTTAATATCAATTTCCATCCCAAGTAATCAAGATATATTTAGAGTTACGGTAGGTACCCCGAACCTAAAGTAGTTTTCGTCAGAGTACACATATTTCATCAAGTATATAATATGTCATTGAGTTGGTAGTGAGGTAGTGGAAAATATATTATTGCGCTTACGGTGGGTACCCCAGCTGCAATATAAGTTGATTATTGCGATATGTATCATGAAAAGTTCAAGTCTCATAATAAGGCCGATCCATACGAGAGTGTCGATGGATAATCAATTCACTAGGTTGTAACTGATGTATTCATATTGACATTTGTAAGGTTGCGAATTTCTACGTTTGTTACATGAACTGCGGTGAGTACGCCTTGAAGTTACAATTGGATTAAAAAGAATTTTGTATATTTCAACCTAAGATTCTGAAAACTATGATGTAATAGAACGAGGGAATGATGTGGAGAGTGTGGTGGGAACATAGGAGGGGCGGGGGGAGTATGATGTGGGAATATATGTTGGAGGAAGAATACGATAAGGGAAGAGTGTGGTGGGAAAATAGGGGGAGGAGTATGATGGGAAAAGATTGGTGAGGAAATCTACGATAAACACTTATGATTATCTATGGTCTAAGCTTATCTATGAGGGAGTGAGAAATATGAGAGGAGAGGGAATACCTCGGTAGGTATTCCGACTTTTTCAGAGAAGTAAGGTAGTATATAAAGATTATAACTTGGATTGATGTACTCGAGTATAATAAACCTAAAGAATATGAAAGCTTCGGTAAGTACTCCAAAACACCGCAACATCAAATAATATAGGAAGTTCATTTACTATATATTTAACTAAATCAAAGAAATTATATATAGGAAAACTATTCTTATATTAACTCTTTAAATTATATTTTATTTAAATTGAAGAATTACTCTATATTTATATTTATAATTATTAAATTAGTATCTATTTAAATTAAATAAATATTATAATCGATATAGGAGAGGATATGAATTATATACTCAAGTTAAATTAGAAAAAAATGTGTAAACAAGGATATTCACTTCAAAGGAATAACTTCAATGTAATGGCTACTATATTAAAGGTATTTAGGCGAATGTAAAAGAGACTAGCTCTTTCAGTAGTGCCTATATAAGGCCTACTATTTTCCTCATTAGCTAGCTCTTCAGATTGAATACAAATAGACATTTAGGGGCATACTCATAGTGGGAACCACGTCTTCCGTATCTCTCTCGAACCAACATAAATATAGTCTTTAAGAATATTATAGTAATTTAAAAGTTTTAATATATAAATCTATAATAACTCGACTTTATAAAAATTCTAAAAAAAGAAATTATAATACTATATACTATTATTATATTATGATATTTTGTTATTTATTAGAGGTAAAGTTTGATATTTTGAATTATAAAGAAAAGATCAGCTAAATCTACTAATATGAGATAAGAACTAGATATAGTTATAGAGTCTCATATAAATATAAATAACTAAGTCATTTTACC